ACCCACCCACCAACCAACCAACCCACCAACCCACCAAGCAACCCACCCACCCACACACCCACCAACCCACCAACCAACCCAACCCACCCACCCACCAAGCAACCCACCCACCCACCCACCCACCCACCCACCCACCCACCCACCCACCCACCCACCCACCCACCCAACCCAACCCACCCACCCACCACCAACCAACCAACCAACCAACCAACCAACCCACCAACCCACCAACCAACCAACCAACCAACCAACCCACCCACCCACCCGCCCGCCCACCCACCAACCAACCAACCAACCACTCAACAAACCAAACCAAACACCCCTCTCCCCGCTCCACCCCAACAAGAAAAGAGAAGAAGAAAAACAAAAAAACACGAAAACCAACGGAGGGCCATACTATCCGCCTGCAGGCACTGGCGCCGGAACTCGAAGTTCACGCTCTCCGCGTCAAAGCGGTCATCCCGCGCCAGCGCCTGAGAGCAAGCACTCACGGCCTCACGGCTGTCTGGCGCTTCACTTGGGGCAACCCCAAGAGCTGATAAAAGGGAGCCGCATTTCGTTTTTTCCTACCAAACATGGGGAAGGGGGCGGTTCTTTCCACCAAAAATGGGGCAAGGGCCCAAGGGAGGGTTGAAAAAAGCGAGCCGCGTGGCTTTTTGTTGCCAAAAATTAGGGGTAGAAAAAAGACGTTCATTAAGTTGCGAGCATTTCGGGCACAGCTAGCCGACCCCCTTCGCCCGTCCGGCCTTTGCGGCGCGGCCCAGCGCTTGGCTGGGCGAGGTTGCCGTCAGGCCCTGGCGTGCGCGATCCGCCCGGGACGGAGGCGACATGTGCCGTATTTCGCAGAAGGCAAATTTGCAGCCGAAACCAGCCACACGACAGTGCCTGTACCTGGTGGTATTGACATAAAGCCCCCTTTGACTCCCTGCAATTCAATCTACTTTGGCGGAATCTACCTGTGGGTCCTGTGAACCAGAGAAACCCCGGGGTTGAATCTAAAGATGGAACACTGGCCATGTTTTGCGGGTGTGAATGTGTTTGGTGTGCGCGTGTTCTTTTGTGCCTGCGCTCTCCCCAGCCCATGAGGGCAGCCTTTTGGTGCGGTTTCAAAGGAAGTCAAAGGGAAACCAGACAGATCGTCTCTTATTGCCACGCATGGGTGTGATTTTGTTTGAAAACGCCAAAGAAATCCGTCCACCCCCGGTCCAAGCCCTGGAAGGGAAAAAACATAGGGGGCGAGGAAAAAAGGAGAGCAACACGTTCAACAATCATTTGGAACAGAATGAAAGCGCTTCAATCGGAGGCCTGGGCCATTCAAGGAACGCAGCGAAGACCAACCCTTTCCAGCCTCACCCAGCTGGCCAGCTGTGCCCTGCGCACAAGGCAGATGGATTCCTTTCGGCTTGGTGATCACTGCCACAACCGGAAAAAAATATGTTCTACTAATGGGAACCCGTCGTACTACAGAGGGGTGTCGGGAGTTGTGCTTCATCTGAGGTTCCCAGTACCTCAGTCCATCGCTTCAGCCTTCATTGCCTAGGCCAAGAGGACAGGAAGCCCAGTTCCCGAACCAAAAAACATCCGGCACCCCGTTGGAGGCGAAACCCCCCACGGCTTTGTCGTAGGCCTCAAGTCCCAAGTATGTCCCAAGTCAGTCGGCACCCTGGGGCTGCGTCATGTGCGTCCCCTGTCAAACAGCCAACTCGCTGGAAGCGAACTCCATACGTGCGCCGATACAGTGCTCCGAAGGTGAGTTTGGGCACTAAGGGAGTCTACCCATCAGGCAAACAAAACAGTTTCAGACTCTTGACCAGGCTTAGACCCCCCTGCAAAAGGTTTTTTTTGGCAAAATGATGGAACCCGCAACCCAATAGGACAACAAAATGAATTCCACTTGCAGAAATTGGGAATTGTGTGAGGAAAACTAACGCCATTGGGGCCTAATCACAATATGCAATCCGATTATATTAATCCTTTCTTGGTTGGTAATCTTCTTGATCCGTGATCCGCGCTGCAAAAGGTGACTCGAATCCTTTTGCTGGAGCATTACAGGCCTATGCAATCCATAACTCGGAATCCGTAAAGCGTATAGTCCAATCCAAACCGCATAATCCGCACTCCGCTAATCATTGCGGATTCGGCTTTGCACAAGCTTGGTTGGCAATTGGCCAACTAGAACCCACCCCCCCACCCACCCCCACCCACAAAAAAATAAAATCACATCATTCTTGGAATTTCTCACCAATCCGTTGCCATCGACTGCATCGATTTCGATCGCCTGCGCGGAGAAGGCGAGGCCGCCGGCCAGCGCCCCCAGGTACCCCCCGAGGCCTGCGGCGCGCGCTGGGAACGCGCGCGCGCTGGGCGCGCTGGAGCGCTGCCCCCGGGCAGCTCAGGTGGAAGAGAGCGGAGCTGATCCCATGGCCCGAAAATCGTGGAAACCACGGCTGTTTGCGTGTTTGGACGCTTCTTCTCCCCAACTCTGACTGAGTTTTGAGGTAAAAGTGGCTGGAGCAAAGAGGAAACTGGGCGGTTTGGCAACAGGAAAACCTCAGTCTAGGGTGCTTAAAGGATACTGACAGCAAGCCAAAGGAAAGCAAAGCAAAAATCAGGGTTGCGGTAGGATACATCCAAACACCACCTGCCCGAGGGGATCCGCTAAACTAAATCAGGTGGCATTGTTCCCCTGCATATCCTCAGGCCTGCAGCAGCGTAAATTAGGTCAAGGTGACCTTAAAGGTGTTTCTAAACATGGCCCAAATGCAACCTTTGCGGGACCACGTGTTTGGATTTTGACGCTTACCCCTTTGGCCTTCGTTGCAGTTGAGAGTGGTCAGTTTGCAACCTTCCCTAGATTAGTCAGCGAATTCCCCCAATTCGTACTACAAGTGGGAAAGCCCCAAGCCATAGAATATCTCTTCATGAATTAGTCGTGAATCCACTTTTAGAAACAACCTCGGTTTTTGCCTGAGATTTAAAACCCGTTGGGGTTCTCCAAAACATGTTCCGCCGAACAGTTGCCACCCCCACACACAAACAAAACGGGGAAGAATTGCAGACCGGAGGGAAGTGAGTGGCTGAGAAATGGATGCAGGTTGAGGCAACCACGGATCAAACATATTTTCCCTGATGAGCCAGCCTTTACTGCAAAAAGGCGGCTGAAACCCAACGAGTCAAACATGAAAGGACCCGAAGGACCCAGACATTCAAGGCCAACCTTTTGGAGCCATGACCAAGCAGGGACCAGGTCGGCCGTGGGCAAGTGAGTTCCTCGTGTCACATCCGATTCTTTACGGGTCTGCCCGAAGTCCAAACCTGCCGCACTCAACCAGAAGCCCCCTACAAATTAGCAAGTCGGCCAAGCTCTCTTCGGGCAAACAGGTGATGTAAAATCTCCCCTCATGGTTCATCATCCGAAGTTAAAACATTGTGGGAGTAAGCAATTGGAAGACTCCGTGTTTGCCCTCAATTTAACACTTTTTCTGGCTGATTTCAAAGCCAGCCCCATTCCAATAACATCTCAAGGAGCCCCTTCTCCCGAACCTCCGCCGTCGCCGAGCCCGTACAACTCCACGGTTCCTCGGCCGAAGCCAAGCTCCGAAGGCTCCAGAAATGTGGGGCGAAACAGCCCCAAAAATGGAACCCCGGACTGATTCATCGGTTCTAGAGATTTTTTTGCGCAGGGTCATCCGCCGGATGGGGGACATTCGCCACTTGCCCATCCCAGACCCTTTCATGGCCTCTTCGCACGTGCCTGTAAAAGAAAGGGAGGTGTCCAAGTGAAAAGTTGCAGTTTACCGGGAAAGGGAGGAACCCATGGCTTTTCGAGGCCTGATCGGCCTTACGTGCCGGCCGAGGCTCGGCTCATTTCCCTCTCCGCCGGTGCAGTGCAGAAATGCCCTGCGCCAAGCGGGCAAGCGGTGTGGGGCCCCTTTGTACAACAACATGTGCAAAGATACCTTGGTTTCACGATGCTACTGTCACATTGGAGATTCCTTCTGGGCTTGTGAAAAGAGCAGAGGCCAAATGAAAGACCAACCCACTGGAAAGTTGTGTCAGAAAGAAATGGAACCGCCAGTGTGGATGGCAGGAAGCCGCCACAAAACTGTGCAAAACAGGAACCACGCATGTGGGGACTCTGTTTTCGGATTATTCCTGGCACGGTACGTGGAATTTGTTGGGCTCTTGTGCATTCCTGGATCGCCAGTTGCTGCTTTCTTCAATCCACTTTACCCCAAAAACCAGCACCAGTGACTGAAAAAAAACAGCAACTTGGCTATCCAGGTCCAGGTTGCTTTCAAAGGCTCATGCGCACGTTCCCTACTTCGAGCAAGCAAGCCATGCAACGCCTTCAAAGCTCAAAACGAAAGGCTCAGCGCCCAAGCCCGAAATAACGGTGCGCAAAAGAGACGGGTGGGTCGTTTCAATCACCCAAAACTGGGCTGTCCTCAGATCCCCCGCTAAAAGTTTGACTTTTAGTGGGTTAAATGGAAATCCCCTCTAAACACTAAGGGGATGGCTGGGTACCACCAAGAAAATGTGTGTCCAACCTCAAAAAAGATACACCCGAACGCAATCTCGCCCTTCATTCCCCTGCCGCAAGCCATGGCGTTTCTTCCAGCGAGCATCCCCATCGAGCATCCCCATCGGGTCGGGGACAGTCTCCGAGTCTAAATTGTGCGAGGCTTCGCCGCGAGTCAAAAGAATCGACGGGTTTGTAGACAAATAAGGTTGAAACCCCGGATTAATAAACCCCTGTATATTAATATGGGGGTGTTCCCCTCCAAAAGTGATAAATCTCCACTAAAACCGGGGACACCCCCATATTAATAAACAGGGGTTTATTAATCTGGGGTCAACAATACTGCCATGATGGTGACATGGTCTTATCCGTTCTATTTGTAGGCGGTTCCATGTAGGGGCCTTCTGTTGTACGTTTTGAACGCCATGCTTTGGTAGGGCATGGGGACACATAATTCATGTTGCTGTTTGATGTCCTTGGCTGCGACGACTCCCTTAGGGAGATTGAGATGCGGGGATCCTTTCCCGCGCATCACCTATCTACGCAAGGCCCAGGTGGGCGCTGAAGAGGCTACATCCACTTCAGCACGAAGCGGAAGCTGATGTAGATGGACAGCATGATCATGATGCCAAGGCCTCAGGCCCTCCTTTCGCAACTCCTACCATTGTGGATATCAGGCTGGGCAATTCTTGGAAGATTCGCCGCGGATGTCCGAAGCAGGGGGGGGGGGAATGGGTACCACCATTTCACCAGCTTGCCTACCAAAAACTACCTCAAGGTCAAGGGCTCCCCTCGTTTTGGAATCGAGCCAAACGTTACATGACAACAACCCTGCAAACACGCAGGCCCGCTGGACGATATCGTCAGGCCGTGTCCAAACCCTTTTGCCGGGGAGTGCTTTGCAAAGTGCAAAAGATGTAAAAAACCATTTGTTGCTTGCCCCTTTTTGAGTAGTTCGGTTCTCAAAGGGTAACTGTTGGGTTGCCGTTGGGCTCCTAGGTCTTGAGATTATTGTTTCTAGTCTTGTTTCTATTGCCTTACATTTTACACCTGAACATTGCAACTTGTAAATGGTTTCCCTTTATTTTGGTGAAAAAAGCAACATGTTTCAAATGGTTGCAACATGAATTTCTTTTAAGGAGCCCTGTAACTCGTTGGACTCAGACGCCAACCCTTCTCGACTTTCTGTCCCCATGAACTCTGCCGTATCTCGACGCTCTATGTCCCACTCTGGGTCATGGACTCGCCCGAAAAAATGTTTGGCACAAGTCCTAGGGAAGGCCAAGGAACTAAACCAACATGGGGGGAATTGTGCCATCGACTTTCCCTGTGTTCCTTCCTAAGGATTAGTTCCTTAGATAGTGTTGCCTTCTTGGCTCTCTCTTTCACTCTGCCTTGTTGTCCCAGGCGAATTGGTTTTCACCAGGCCAGTTGCGGGCCGGAACTTTGGTGGCAGCTTCCTGGGTGAAAACCGCTTGAAACCCGCCAAGAACCATCCCTTTGCCCGTCCGTGGTGCCCGCAGTGATCCAGATTCCCATTCACCACCGAGGGGGGGCGCCGATCAAACTCAGCTCAAAGCTTGACCGACAAAAAGGGCCCGCGAGCCGGGATTCTGGCGAGCCCTTGGGCCTGGCCCCCGCGCACATGGGAAAAGGCTAAGGGATGAGCTGGAATGGGATTGCGGGGGGCTTTAAAGCCAAGTGAATGCTCATCAGCTCAAGGAATGATGTGTATTTTTGAATGTTTTGGTTCTCCTTCCCCCCCCCCCCCAACCACCAAAAAAAAAAGGAGCAAGAGACACTCAGCAACTGGCCACTCATTGCTCGCCAAGCAGCCCCAGAAGAGCGTGTAGCCCCGCTGCTTGTCCAACCTGCCCAAGCCTTCAAGTCAAGAGGCGGTTCTTTGAGACAGCCCGTTTCTTTGAGGCACCCTCAACAACAAGGCGGCGGGCCCGTTTTCTCATGATGCGCACCACGGAGAAAAAAAGGAAGGGACGCCTGTTGGGTTTCTTTCCCTCAACCAAAAGCCGGCGGGCCCAAATTTATATTTGATGCGCGTCATGGAAAAAAAGGAAGGGACTCCGGTCCTATTGGGTAAGTTTCTCTCATTCCTTCTTGTCGGGTTTTCCAGAAAGCCGCCCGAAAAGCTCCCAGCAAAGAAGCCACGAAACCGGAGCAGACCGGCGAAGTTGATCTTTTCTTGCCCAGCGGCCGGGCACCACAGGCCGGTCCTTGTCATCGAAAAAGTTCATGCCGTACATGGAAGCCAGGATTTGCCTCGCTTTGGCCAAGTGAGACCAATCTCATGGGTCGAATTCGAACCTTCGGCGCCTTGCCTGCGCTGTTCAGGGTTTCAAGTCAAAATGAAAGACCCCCCCTCCCCCAGCATGCCCAACAGGCCCAAAGTAGTAGAAAAGTTTCCATGACTGCGACTCTTGGCAGAGCCATACTGTTCCTACCCTCCTGCCGAACACACCTTGGCCTTGAGTCCTTCCCCGGCCCAGGATGTAGTTCCTGGGAGAGTTTGCATCCCATCTGGGAATTTACACATCCGCAACTGGAAATCAGGTAGCCATCAAAGCAGCCAAGTAAAACGTGCACACAGAACTGCAGCAACCAGAAGCACCGGTGGCCCTGCCCCAGCCAACAACCACAAACCCGCAGGTCGAAGCAGACCCCAGCCCTGGCTGCAACTTGAGCGGCTTGAAACCTGCGCTGCTTCTTTGGCGTGCTGCGAGCCAACCGTCCGAGCCAGCAACCAACCCAACCCATCCCACCAACTCAACCAAATGCAAAAACCGAACTCTGAACGCCAAAAATCTGGAAAACAATAAATCAAAGGGGTGGCGAGCCCTCTACCTTCATCCCTTTGGTGTCTAGAAAGCAACCCCCCCCCCCGCCAAGCGTCATGGGCGTGGTCATAGTAGTAACCAGCGCCAGTACGTAGAGCACCTCGTGACGCTCACGCATTCGCTCCCGACTTTGCTCAAAAAATGAGTCTTGGTTTGATGGCACCCTTCCGTCCACTAACATGGAACCCACAAGAGGGTCGCGTTTTACGGGAAATAGTCTTCCAGGACCCCTCAGTGAGGTTCCATGTTAGCGGAGGGGAGGGGAAACCAATTCGAAAACCACTATTTGGTTTTCATCCAACCTCAAACAAGACAAGCCACCCAAATCGAGATCAGATCAACGAGCCAGGTTTCCCCGGCTCCTTAAGAACAAAGGAACTCAGTGGCGCATTTCTGCTGGTGGCTCGTGCTGTCCTTTTGGATTTTCCCTGGTAAATGGGTAATAAAACCAAGCTAAACCAGTGGAACCCATCTATGTTGAACCAAACTAGCCTAAAAAGGACACCTCTGCTTGTCATATGTCCCGGTTCAACCAAAGTGTCAATCGATCTTGCTTGCCCTACATGCTGCTTCCCACAGCAACAGGGCTTCAGCTCGTGGCATTTCCTGAAGGATCAGTTGGCGATCAAAAACAAGCGCACCCTTTGATTTGAAGGGGAGCCCACCCGCAGGCCTTTGAAAAAGGCAAGGCGTACTTATGAAAAAAGGGAGCCTTGGGCGACGTTGGTCAAACCGGCGCTTTCCCCGAGGAGGAATTCACCCTGGCGCTCCTAGTTGTCATGATAGGGTGCCAGTTTGTCTGACTTCCCTCGCTTTCCTATCGTTCATGCAACAAAAGTCTAAACATTTCGTGCACCACCGCGGCCCAGCCACAAAAAGAGCGAAAAGTCCAGGAACTCAGGGACATGGGTGTCCTTTTGGCAAAATAGATAGAATTCCCCGGTACATGGGCAATAACGCCCCAGGCTATGCCAGTGGAACCCATCGATTTCTCCCCAAACACACCTCTGCGGCCTCGGGTTCCTGGACTCACCTCTCCAAAGACCTCCTTTTACTTTCCTCCGATCCTCCCGTTCCCCGTTCCCCGGCTGAGGCCCGGTCCCCCTGCTGCTCCCGGTCGCGGAAGCTGCGCACCTGGTCCCGCAGGGAGTCGCAGACCTCGAACCGCGCCGGCCGGGCGGCCGTCGAGACGAAACGCCAAAGACGGAGACCAAACGGCCGAATTCGGCACCCACTGCCTCAGCCCAGTGGCCATGGGAAAAAAGGGGATCTTTCTTAAGTTGGTTGAGTTTAAAGGGAACCCTTCCCCAAAAACAAGGAGAAAAGGGCACCACTGGGCAACTAGGCCACCCTCCAAGGGTTGTCAATTGGTACCCAAAATGGCTCACAGGGCAAGTCAGCTACAAATGGACCCAAACTTGGAGGGTGCTGGTACCAAACTGTTTAAGTTGCTTGCAAGACTAAAATGGTCTTGCCAAAGTCCATGAACTCAAAAAAGTGAGAGCAAGGGCGAAGCCGACATTTCGAAGGGGAACTCACTTCAAATGGCCCAAGGTGGGCCATTTAAACCGCCCTTCTGAGCAGTTTTACATGCGGAGCCTGGAAGGGAATTTACTGCTCCCAAGATCCCAAGAACAAACCACGCAACCTGTCTGGCAGGATTTTGTCTGCTTTAAAACAAGCCTTTCGCAGCTCAAGGGAAGCTTCTGGTACCAACCCAAGGGTTTGCTGCTTTTGAGGAACCCCTGTTGACTCTGCTAGGGCCTTAAAAAGTAACCGGGGAGAGGCAAAGAAGCTTTGGGGTGGGTGGGGGGGGGGGTACATGTTCCGTTGGGTCTGGTCTCTGACCATGCACGCCTGAAACTTCGTCCCTTTCAAACCTTGTGTGCTTTCGCGGTCGGCACTTTCTGAGAACAACAGCGCCCTCACCCGTTTTGTGCAACGTGCTCTTTGTGTGCCTCTGGAGGTCCAGAAATTTCTCGTTAGGGTTGTGGGATTGCCCCTAGCTCACATCGGGAAATCCCCTTTTCAAAAAAAAAAAAGACTCATTCTAAAATGGCAATGCTTAAAATCACCCAAGGGATGCCTAAACCATTGCAAAAGGAGAAGCATACTCGCCCGACTCACTTCCCGAGTTGATTGGCCAAAGCAGTCCATTTTTTTGGCTTGCCACTGGAATGGTCTTCCCCAAAAGGCTTCAAGTGCTGGAACTCAGGAAGTGAGTTGCACTGCCCAAAGCATTTCAGAAATGGCCATGGGTCAAAAGCCCCACTAAAATAGACTAAAATGGGTGGTGCACCTACCCCAAAATAGTACAATTGGTTTTGACCCACAGCCAAATCAATCTTTGACTCGGCGCCCCGATGCTGCGGCTGATCTCCTCGACGTAGGTCTCCAAATGGTCCTCCACGTCTTCGAGGTATTGCGTGACCTATCGAACTCGTGTCTCGCCGAGTCCATGGCTCGGCTTTTTTGGATGGCGGAGGTGAGTCAAACATGGAGTCGGCTTCCCCCAGCCTTGCAGAGAACAAACCGGGGGTGGTTTGTGGCGTGGAGTTGGTACTCCCTGGCTTGCTTTGTGCGTGTGGGTTTGAAGGGAAACTAAAGGAAAACGATGTCGTTTTCGGGGTCCCCTATTTTGAGGCACTGGTGGATTCACCCTGATGGACAAATGTGCAAAATCGTTCAGTTCATAGGTGGTTTACCCCACTCGTTCCAACTGTCGCGAAGCAGATTTGTCCACCCAAACAGTCATGTCCCAAAAAGCTCATCTTAAGCTGTACACCCCCTTATCAAGCAACCAGAGGTTTACTAATGCGAAGATCCCGGAAGAACGTCGGGCCCGCCCGAGAATGCAACGGTCAGCATATCCCTGACTCGCATTGGATTTCCGTGAGAGGCCGGGTTGCTCCATGTCCCCTTCGACACTGCAAATACTGATTCTCATCTCTCCTTTCTTGCAGCCCCCTACAAAAAATAAAGAAAACCCAAAACCTCAAAAACTTGAACACATGCCAAGAACAGTGAAGAGACATACCACCCTGATATTGAACATGATATAGCCTAACACGATCCATCAGCCCCAATATCTGGGATGGAACCCTCGAAATGAGTTGCGGATTTCCAACTGCTGTTCTTCTTGGCACCCGCAGACGAGAAGTATGAAAAGGCAAACAGTTGAAGAAAGGGATCAACCATCAGTGAACATAGGTGCCTTTTGGACGCATACATGCATGGTGTCTTGGAACCGGATCGCGAACCAGAACCGAACGGAACCGAGAGTTTGCAAGTAGGAACTGTAGGATCCCTAGCTTCCCGCTTTCCAAATGAGGCAGTGGCCGGGTACACCCAGCTCGGTGCCGCCAAGCGACATCTGCTTCGATGGTCTTGTCGTGGATGAGGTGGCGCACCACCTCGATGCAGCAGCCGTATGTGTCGACTCGGAGCTCCAAACGTTTTTCTTCTCTCTTTTTTTCTGATCACGGCCGGGGCATCCAAAACTCCGAAGCTTGGGGCCCCTTGAGGTCCTTAAACCCCCCCCCCACCCACCCCCCCCCCCCACCCTTTTTCCTGCCTCCCGAGAAAGGGAACCAGCCCCCCCCAAAAAAAAACGGGCACAGAGATGCCCCGCAGCGCCGGGGCTCGAAGCTTTCGAGGTGGGGAGGGGCCATCCCGCATCGGGTCCGCCGGCTTGGGCCCACTGTGTTCCCCTTCCGCCCCGACCTCCGCGACGCCCACTTCTTGTTCCAAACTGGAGAAGAAGGAAGCCCCAGCGAGGGTGAGAGCGGCAGGGGTAACCCAAGAGAAAGCAGAAAGCAAATGCCATGGGGGGCCCCATTAAAAGCAAATAAAACAAATAAACAATAAAAATAAAAACCTCCGAGCGAGCTGGGTCTCGCCGAGCCGCGCGAATCATGGGCCTCACCTGGCCGGACGGTTCGATCTGAGCTGCGGGGGAGGGGCCAGTGGAGCTTGGGTTTTCGATGCCACATCGCGCTTCAGGGCCTTCATCCTTGGATCACGCGTCAGTTCTATCTCAGAAACCCTCTAGGCCCCAAGCCGCCCCACCACACATGCTGAAAGCCGTCGTTGCCAAATTCTCCGAGGGCCCTGCCTGCATAGCCTTGCTTGGCCGGCCTTGTGCCTTTTTTCCATGAGAAATTAATACCCGTCACCCCCTCGTTTGGAACCCAACATGCCGGTCCCGGGAAGCGCCGGATTCATCCTGGTAGGTTGTTGAAGCCACCCGCCGAAAAACTGAAAACAAAAAACATCTCTTTAGTGGGTGAAGCGGGCAAGCAAAAAAACCAGCTGGAACTTGTGCCGGAAAATTGGGTGTGCCCTTTTGGGGACAGCAACGGTTTTCCTTTTGGCTTCCCTTTCAACCCCCCTCCAAAAAAAAAGAAGAAAAAGCTAGGAACCTGCAACAGAAAGACAGAAAGACCCATTTGACAAATGGCCGCGTCCAACGCCCAAAGCATTCGGCACCTCCGACCCCTTTGGCGGAGTTCGCGCCTTTCGCTGCACCCACTCGAGCTCCACCCGCGTCCAAAGGAGCTTCTTTTCCTGGGTCAAACAAATGCCTCTGGTTACTTCGGGCTGATTTGTTCTCAAAATATGTCTCTCTCTCTCTCTCTCTCTCTCCTCTAGTGCTTCTATTGCAGGTGCCAAATTCGAAGCCCTCTTGGTTTAGGATATTTTGACAAAGCATTGGGGGACTCCCGTTTCGGGCGGCTTTCCTTTTTGTGCCTTGAACTGCCACATCCCGACCGGCCTCACTTGGACCCAAAGCCTGGCTTAAGGTGAGCTGATTTCTGCCAGCGGCTTGGATGGGCTGGATGGGCCCTGAGCACTCCAAGGGAGACTGGTGGCATGGCCCAGCAACCAACCGACCAACCGACCGACCAAGACCCGGACAACATCTGCTCAACCCATCAACCAGCTGGCCCCCCTTCATGGACAAAACCGAAAGGGGGGTGTAAATGCCTCCAAAAAAACAGGGGTCGAACATTTAAGCCAAGGAACCATGTCTGGGAAATCAAGTTTTAGGTCCCTTGGCGGCTCTCCTCTTTCCGTGGGATATGTCGCGAATCCGTTAAACTCTAAAGCGGCTGGAAGTCTCAAGGGTTTGGGAGCCACCGCAAGAAGTCTTCGTAGGGATCCGCATGCGAAGAGTTGGAAACAAGCCGCGGAGTAGCGCCACCCCTCGTTCCAAAAACATGAAAGTGGACAGAAGGCAAATCCAAAGCCACCAATCCAAACCACCAATTGGGGAACCCCCCCAAAAAAAATACACCAGCATAGACCCCAGATAGCACACCACGGATACGAACCATGACGCAGCATTATCATGATGATGTAGACCATGATGACACCACAGCCACGGAACAAACGCACAGACAACGTCCTAATGAGATCAGCAGCAGAAGGTTGATTTTGAGAGCAATCCGGCAAGAAAACGCAAAAACGAGGTCCTGATGAGTTCGACAGCATCATGATGATGCGGACAGCATCATGATGATGCGGACAGCATCATGGTGATGCGAACAGCATCATGCTGATGGTAAAGGCAGCATCATGATGATACCACAGCCACGAACCATCTTGCGACAGCTTAATGAAATTCTGCATCATCCTGATGTTGACAGCATCACGGCGCCACTACACCCACACACCATAACGTGGGAACATCATGACGATACACCAGCCACGAACCGTTACACGCGAACAGCATCCACCAGCACCCCAAACATGCCCCCTAGCACCCGGTACAACCAAAGCAGCATCCACCCGCGCCTCAAACTGCATGCCCCTTAGCACCCGGCCGTCAAGCTCGCAAAGCAGCATCCACCAGCACCCCAAACTGCATGCCCCCTAGAACCGGCCGTCAAGCTCGCAAAACAGCATCCACCAGCACCCCAAACTGCATGCCCCATAGCACCCGGCCAGCTCGCAAAACAGCATCCACCAACAGCCCAAACTGCATGCCCCCCAGCACCCGGCCGTCAAGCTCGCAAAACAGCATCCACCAGCACCCCAAACTGCATGCCCCTAGCACCGGCCGTCAAGCTCGCCGGCCAGCTCGCAAACCAGCAGCCCCCCACCCGGCCGTCAAGCTCGCAAAGCAGCATCTACCAGCACCACAAACTGCATGCCCCGTAGCACCCGCAAAGCAGCACCCACCAGCACCCCCAACTGCGTAGCACCCGGCCGTCAAGCTTGCAAAACAGCATCCACCAGCACCCCAAACTGCATACCCCCTAGCACCCGGCCGTCAAGCTCGCAAAGCAGCACCTACCAGCACCCCAAACTGCATGCCCCAGAGAACCGGCCGTCAAGCTCGCAAAACAGCATCCACCAGCACCCCAAACTGCATGCCCCCTGGCACCCGGCCGTCAAGCTCGCAAAGCAGCATCCACCAGCACCCCAAACTGCATGCCCCCTAGAACCGGCCGTCAAGCTCGCAAAACAGCATCCACCAGCACCCAAACTGCATGCCCCCTAGAACCGGCCGTCAAGCTCGCAAAACAGCATCCACCAGCACCCCAAACTGCATGCCCCATAGCACCCGGCCAGCTCGCAAAACAGCATCCACCAGCAGCCCAAACTGCATGCCCCCCAGCACCCGGCCGTCAAGCTTGCAAAACAGCATCCACCAGCACCCCAAACTGCATGTTCCTAGCACCCGGCCAGCTCGAAAAACAAAACAGCATCCACCAGCACCCCAAACTGCATGCCCCCAGCACCCAGCCGTCAAGCATGCCCCCGAGCACCCGGCCGTCATCGCAAAGCAGCATCTACCAGCACCCCAAACTGCATGCCACGTAGCACCCGCAAAGCAGCACCCACCAGCACCCCCAACTGCGTAGCACCCGGCCGTCAAGCTTGCAAAACAGCATCCACCAGCACCCCAAATTGCATACCCCCTAGCACCCGGCCGTCAAGCTCGCAAAGCAGCACCTACCAGCACCCCAAACTGCATGCCCCCTAGCACCCGGCCGTCAAGCTCGCAAAGCAGCACCCACCAGCACCCCAAACTGCATGCCCCCTAGCACCCGGCCGTCAAGCTCGCAAAGCAGCATCCACCAGCACCCCAAACTGCATGCCCCCCATGCCCCCTAGCACCCGGCCGTCAAGCTCGCAAAGCAGCATCCACCAGCACCCCACACTGCATGCCCCCTAGCACCCGGCCGTCAAGCTCGCAAAGCAGCACCCACCAGCACCCCAAACTGCATGCCCCCTAGCACCCGGCCGTCGCAAAGCAGCACCCACCAGCCGCACGCCCCCTAGCACCCGGCCGTCAAGCTCGCAAAGCAGCACCCACCAGCACCCCAAACTGCATGCCCCCTCGCACCCGGCCGTCAAGCTCGCAAAACAGACCTCAAACTGCATGCCCCCGAGCACCCGGCTGTCAAGCTCGCAAAGCAGCATCCACCAGCACCTCAAACTGCCTGCCCCCCAGCACCCGGCCGTCAAGCTCGCAAAGCAGCATCCACCAGCACCTCAAACTGCATGCCCCCTAGCACCCGGCCCTCAAGCTCGAAAAGCAGCATCCACCAGCACCTCCAACTGCATGCCCCCGCAAAGCAGCATCCACCAGCACCTCAAACTGCATGCCCCCTAGCACCCGGCCCTCAATCTCGCAAATCACTTTCCCCTCTTTATTAGAAGTTAGAACCCCTATAGCTTTCAGCTATCTGGGGAAAAAGGGGGGGACAACAATCGTACCCACATTTCGGTGGCACCCTTTCAAGACTTTCCAAGACGCTAGTCTGTGCGGGGCCTCGTACTCCCTCACCATGGTGGGCCAATTTTCGGACATACCCCAAAAACACCCAGAAGAAACGCATCTAGCCTTGGGCTATGCTTCTGGGGGCTAACCACTTTCCTTTAGCGGGGATAGTGGTTGGGGTGGTTGGGGAGGGTGGGGGTGGCTGGGGTGGCTGGGGTGGGGTGGTTGGGGAGGATTCCCTCTGCCGAAGCTCCACGCCGTTCTCGGCCTTGGCCCTGCGCTTGGCGATGTGGGCGCCAAACCTCGGCAGCCGGGCTGGGGGCTTCGGGGTCCGAAGCGCCTGAGTTGTCTGCTGGGCACGGAACATGCCTTAGACTCGGAGTCCTACATCGGCTGGGAGAAGAAAACATAACATATACTTTTTTGGGGGAACCCCAGATGCAAAACGTGTTTTTTGTTTGTTTGGAACCCCAGATGGATCCTTGAAATCGGCTTGGATGTGTTTATTGCTCTTGTTTTTCCAGGGAAATCTATGGGGAAGAGTCGGGAAGAGTTCTTTATTTGGGACCTTTGACCCCCACTCCATATATTTACTTGCGAGGATAGCAGAAATCCAGGATTGGTCCGTGCAAACTTGGTGTTAGAGGCTTTTTTGCTCCTACAATCCTTGATAGATCACCGGGGATTGGCCCAAACATCGTGCAAACACACGGACCTTTTTGGAATTGGTACCTGTGGGGGGTGCCCAAACTTCGAGGAGCCGACGAAAATCCCATCAATCTGCTTCCCCAATGGTGACCTCGGACTCATCTGGACCGTAAGGGATAGTTCCCCTTTTGGTATAGGGATATCAACTATTTTTCGGGGGGTTCCCTGACTAGAGCGGTCCGGATTCAATGATCCTAGACAAATAACATGATGTTGAACAAAAACAAGGGTCACCGAATGTCCCCTCCAAAGCTTCAATTTGCAGGGTGGTGTCCATGCAAACCGCCCACTTTTCAAGGTTCCAAAACAGGAAACGGAGAGAGCCCCGGAAAAGGCGCCGCGAAAGCCCAGAGTTGGATGGGCCAAGTAGCCACATGAGCCGTGCCCGGAAGGCGGAAAGGATGGGCTCCATGTCGTCCACCTCACTCGAAGCCGATGGTCAGCTTCCCCCCTACGAGGTTTGCAGCCCGGTGGTTTGGTGGTGAAACGCGGTGGTTTCGACAAGAACCCGGGGTTCAAATCCCCACACCACGAATGACAACCACCAACTAAGGGGTGAGATGGGCAAAATTGGAAAAAACAACAGCTGGTGTGGCTTTCCCGGTGGTTTCCCTTTACCTGTATGCAACTCAAAACCTGTGGGAAAAATACAAGTCTGAAAATCGAAAACCCCTCCCAAAGGTGGGCCCTTCCTTCGCTTCCTTTGTGGCTTCCCTTTAAACCAACCCCCAGAAATAGGGCACCCGCAAACAAACGCAGCCCCGCACGAGGTCTCTCTCCCCCAGTTGGGCAGCCTACTCTGAAAAAAGATCGTGGCGGGCTTTCCCCGCTCCAAACAAACGTCTGAGTTGGGACATTCCACGATCTGGGTCCCTGCGAACTGGGGCGCCCTTTTCGCCTTTGGAAGGGAAGTTCGAGGGGGCTTCCACGCATTTTCGGAACCACCCCCTTTTTTGCCAGTATGCGGTTCTCCCTGTTGTCAAGGGCCGCTTCTTGCCCTGGAGCCAGGGTTGGAATTCGTCGGGCTTGGAGCCATGCACGAGTTTCTGGGGGGCAAGTTGAGGAGCAGCATGGCAAACCATGGACAAGTTGCTTGGGGAGGGTATGAACAAACGCAAGCCTTATGGGGTACTTTGATGTAAAGGAGTGCGTAGATGGTACAATCACCCTAAACATTCGGAAAGCGGATATTTGGGAAGCTGCTGTCGTATGGGAAGAACTGTTGGTTCGGGCTTATTGGTACGCTCATTGCGGCCCAAAGTGACTTGCCCGAAAGGCAATGGAAGTCACAATCCTTCGGTGGGCATTGACGGACGGAAGGTTGATGTCTTGCTTTGTGAGGGAAACTCCAACTCTTCAATTGAAACCCGTGGGGCGCAGCCCTGTAACCTCCCTTTAGGGTTGCTGGCTCGAGGTTCCTAGGGGTCAGACTGGTTTCTATCCAAGCCAGTGCGCAACCAAAGTTCTACCTTGTAGGTTTGATTGGAGCTCAGGTTGAACCAGCCGCCCACAGGTTTTGGCCTGGGCAGGGGCCACTTCCATGCAAAGCTTTCAAGACCCGCTGGGAACAAGGGCTCAACTTCCTGAGTGGATTCGCCCAAAAAGAGAGACACGGACTTTTGTTTTACCACTACAAGGGTCGCCTTCCCAAAAGTGACGAAACTCCGAACCGGAACTCAGTGCGGCACCAGCACATCCACCACCCGCCACAAGAGCCACGCGGAGTTCCCCGAGCGCAGCATGGAGCAGTCCTGGCGGACTGCAGCCATAGGCCGGCGGCGCGGACAGCAGGTTGGAGCCCCCGATCAGAGCTCCTTTAAGTTCCCTTAAAAAATACCCACCAAAACACGGGTACCCTCAGAATATGCGCCCGTTTCTGGGTATCCATGGGGCAAGCCACGTTCGGCACAGACCTTTGGAAGTGGCCTGAAAAGAATGGACCCGAGCGAGTTTGCCCAACAAGTCTGACTTTGCACTTTCGGATTCACTCTCTCCAATCCCATGACCATTTCATTTTGAGGGGTCAAGCGTACCCACTTGAGTCACTTGACGGGCCAAATGCTGAAGTACCAACTGCACAAGTCCCCTTCGTAAAAGCACACGCATCCAGGCAAGATGTAACGGCAAGCGGCAAAGCAGCCCGGGCGCCCTGTGTCTGTGTCTGTGTGTGCGTCTGCATACATACATACATACGTACATACGAGCATGCATTACATATGTTGCAATACATTACATTACATAACAGTACATTACATTGCATGCATACATACACACTTACATACATACACTGACATTTAACATTACATTACATTATACATACATTACATACGTACATGCAGACAGACCGGCAGACATACATTACATGCACGTATGCATACACTACACTACACTACGCTCCACACCCCACTACACTACACTACGCCACACTACATTACATTACATTACCTTACCTTACATTAAATTACATTACATTACATTTCTCAATAAACATTACATACGCACATACATACATACATTACATACGTGCATTGCAGTGCATTGCATAAAGCTACGCTACACTACATTGCATTACATCATGACATACACACGGTACAATACAGCACAGTACAGCACCGTCCAGTACAGTCCAGTAAAGTACGTTACGGTACACTACATACATTCAGTACACACAGTACATGACATTGCATAACCACTAAACTACTACATTACATTACATTACATTACATTACATTACATTACACTACGCTACACATCCCACGACACTACATTACATTACATTACATTACACTACACTACACATCCCACGACACTGCGTTACATTACATTGCATTGCGTTTACATACATGTATTACACTACATACATTACATCACAATACAATACAGTATATTACATACACATATAGATATAGATACATATTCACGCACACACACACACATCATATTCCCCCCCCTTTTCTTCGGGGCCCGAAGGATGCACCTAGCTCCGCGCGCCCGCGCCTTTTGGATCTCCTCGGCGATGCCGTCGAAGGCCTGGCACGCGTCGTCGTCGTAGGCGGAGGGGTCCGTCTCGGTCTCCTCGAGGTCGTAGTCCAGCCTCGAGCGAAGTCCCTCGAGTGAAGACTCACAAAAAAGGCAGCCTGGTAACAGCCGCCCTTTTTGCGGGTCCCCATTTTTTCTGGTTTTGAAGGGGAAATGCATGTGTTATTCAAAAAATAATAATAAAACAAATGTTCCAGCACCTAGGGTTGTCCACCTGCGTCTGCGTCCAAGTCCGCCATAGGCTCGTTCTCCAGGTTCATATGGTTCGGCTGATTTGAAAAGGCGAGCCAAGGCGAAAACCAAACCTCATTTGGGAGTGGGGGGGGTCACCTTAAAAACGACGACACCCAAATAGGACTTCGACCCGACAAAAGGCGCGCTGCTTTCCTTTTGGCTTCCTTTGCCCAAATTGTCTGCTTTGCTTTTGGCTTCCTCGATGGCACGAGGAAACCCAAGTCGAATCCCTCAAAGGATATGGACTGGCCCTAGACATTATGAGACAAATACTGAATTCAGCCGGCTTCATCAGACCCCCAAAAAGTATGAGGCACTGTGGATGGACAGAATCCACTTTAAGTTTGCCCCACTCACAGGGTGTCCGTCCAAACCTTTCTCAACTCACTGGAGATCCGGAAGCTTAAGCTCGGCCCTTTCAAAACAGTAGGCAGTTGGCGCTTTTTTTTTGAAAGCTTGTTGTTTCTTGTCTCGGATTGAAGGAAGCCCCAAGGAAGCCGAACACTTTTTGTGGCGACCGAATCCCAGTCCAAGAACCATCCCTGGTGGTGGGGTTCATCCAAACCGAACAAATTCCATAGGATGAATGCATCCAGGAGCTTTCGCAGGGTCCCATCTGTGGCCTTTGGCCATCTGGAGTTCAACCCGCCAGGAAGGGACGACCCTGCAAATACCAACCCAGAAGCTTCCAGCTGGGTGTTTTTTTTGTTTTTTTTTTCTATCGGTTTGGGACCAGAAGGGGAAAAAACGATGTCTGACCCCTCAAGGGGTCCAAATCCATCAGCAACTAAGGGGTCAACCTGATCAAGCTTGAAAAGGCCTTCTTGCCAGACCCCTCCCAGTGGCCATGGGAACAAGGGGGGTCCGCTTTGATCTTAAAGAACCTCCCACCCCCGGAAACAAAGAAAAAGAAAGTAAAAAATAAGTTGATCTTAAATCAACTACCCGCCCCCCCGCCCCAAGCAACAAAAAAAACACAAAACATCACAGAAAAAAGAGAAAACGACAATAAACAACACATATGTAACATAACCCCCCCCCCCCAAAAAAAATAATAAAATAAAATAAGGGAAGCCCGAAAAACACATGGAAAAATGCCCGCTGCTTGTGTCTCCTCGCCTCTTTGCCCCCCCCTTTAAAGCGCACCTCGGAGAGGGCTCCGGAGACTCCTCCGTGTAGCTCCGCGCCAGCTCCCCGCCCTCCTCCGTGTCGCTGCGCAGGAGCCTCGTCGGTCTTTTGTTTGTTTTTTCTCGTCGATGTTTTTTTGCTTTGTTTTGTGGTTGTTGCTTTTTTTTTTCCGGGGAGAAGAGAAAAAAATCCCGCGGCGCCACTCACAAAATGATGGTGCTTTTAGGGAAAAACAAAGGGGAAACCGCAACCAAACTGCTTTTGCCGTATTTTTGTACCACGGTCCAAATTGTCACCCAAAAACAAAGGTGGGTTGAAGGGAAACAACCCAATTTCTGACTTTGATAACCCTAACAGCCAAAACAATGACCCCAGCGCTACCGCCCCAGGACACAATTTTGGGTACCAATTGACAATCCTTGCAGGTCGTTGGAAAGCACCCTTGTAATTATTTACGGCGGGGAATTCAGTTGAAGAGGCAGCCGAGTGAGTGAGGCGCGTGTGGCGGTTTTCGGAAAGGATGGATCATGATGGATCTCTAAGATGTCATTTTTTAGGAGAACCCCCAAAATGGCTGGTTTCCCTTTAAGGAAACGTACCCCCAGAAAAAAAGAAGAACAAAAAAGACGCGCCCAAACGGCTCCAACCTATGCCTCCCGCGAAACGCTTCCCAAGGCGAAACGAGGAGCACGCGGCTGCGCAGCTGCCGCCTGCGCCGGCGGCAGAACCTGGCTCGGAAACCAAAATGGTCCGGGCTAAATGGGCATGGTTTCCGTTTTTAGGTTGGACCCCCAAACCAGACTGGCTTTGGTTGTCCTTTTGCGCTTTCTATCCCAACAAAAGCCACCAAAGGGGTACCGAGTCAAGAAAAGGAGACGCACCCAAATGGTGGTTTAAAGGGAAACCACGACGTGATTTTGACTCGGAGGGTGCTTATTGCAAAATCCTAGGCAAATCCGGTGGCTTATCCGGTACCTTGCAAATCGAAATCGAGCGTACCTCAGTTTAGAGTAGTTGGAAACCATCATAGAGTCTGGCGATGTTTAAGGGTCTGGGGATTGTCCAATGATCCCCTTGCCATGTCATTTCAGCGTTGCATTTTTCCACTGGAAGCTGCTTCCTTACTGGCTTCACCGCCAGAGGCACTGAATCAACCACAAAGAAGAAGCCGAAGAAACAAGCGGCTGGGTTGTTTCTGCAAGTTCAACTTGTCTTCTCCAAGAACTAGTGAAATATCGCCCTCCGATTTCATTTCCGGGAGCTTCCCCCCAACTCCACAAACTACTGGCATGGCAGTGCGTATCTGCACTCTGTACGACTGAGAGCCTGCGCTCCGGGCGCGGGGAGTCGGCATAGCTGGCGTAGTGATTGCTGCCGTCCTCGCAGTGGTGCACCACCCAGTTGGTCTGGATGCTGATCCTCGCATCCAAGAAAGAACTGAAGAGAAGGGTGACGGGGAGGACTCTTGCGTCCAATAAATTGGTGAGCAAGTTCAACAAAAATTGCAGAAAAAACGGGGTTGCACGCTTGGCTACCTTGACGCCAGCACGTTGACTTAGACCCCCTGCAAAAAGTTGCGTATGTAGAGCCAAGGCGCACTGTGTCGAAGCGAGGTGCCCCGGCTACAAAGAGCGCCACCCGGCCCTGCGATTCGGATTGGTTCTCAAACCGGGGATTTGCGGATCCGAACCGACAACGAAGGCGCTTGGCCGCTTTGGTTTGGCCGGAAACCCACCACAAACACCCTTGTGTTTCTCTTTGTGCTTGTGTTGGGGTTGATCATTCTGAACTGGGAGCCCAAAACACAAAGCGAAACAGCTCGAGGTCAGGGGGGTGGCTTCGATCAGCTCCAAGAGTGGCTCCCGCACAGTCCAAAACATTCTATCCCTCCCCCCCCCCGGGGTAATGTGGTGCCACGGGGACGATTGCAGCAGCCAACATTCTACATCATTGTGCTGCTCACGTTGTCCCATTTTCAAGCAGTGGGAAATAATGGGAAATCTCTGAGAAGTGTTGATGACACCCGATTTTCGCTTGCCAAAGCCCATTTCAAAGGGGCCTGGATCATCCGCACATGACACATCCCCACAAAACCCCGGATGACCAGATCTCGGAACGCGCCTGCTCGATCTCAACGTCAAAGGCAGGCGCTGAGTCCTGGGATTGCCCATTTGGAACCTTTGCTCTGGGTGCCATGTGAGTGTTTCATCGATTTCTGCACATCCGAAACCTGACGTGCAACGTTTCAAGCTGCCCCGAAACTTCACTTGGCTAGGAACCCGCCGTCGACCCGTCTCTGCCCCCCACCTTGCTTGGCAGGAATCAACAAACGCAATACGTTCGGGGGGTCCGACACCTGCAAGGAAAGTCCTCTGCAAATGATGGTTTTCAGTCTTTCTTGTTGACCTGCCTTGAAAGCAGGTCGAGATGGAAACAAATACACCAGCATAGACCCCAGATAGCACACCACGGATACGAACCATGACGCAGCATTATCATGATGATGTAGACCATGATGACACCACAGCCACGGAACAAACGCACAGACAACGTCCTAATGAGATCAGCAGCATAATGTTGATTTTGAGAGCAATCCGGCAAGAAAACGCAAAAACGAGGTCCTGATGAGTTCGACAGCATCATGATGATGCGGACAGCATCATGATGATGCGGACAGCATCATGGTGATGCGAACAGCATCATGCTGATGGTAAAGGCAGCATCATGATGATACCACAGCCACGAACCATCTTGCGACAGCTTAATGAAATTCTGCATCATCCTGATGTTGACAGCATCACGGCGCCACTGCACCCACACACCAAAACGTGGGAACATCATGACGATACACCAGCCACGAACCGTTACACGCGAACAGCATCCACCAGCACCCCAAACATGCCCCCTAGCACCCGGTACAACCAAAGCAGCATCCACCCGCGCCTCAAACTGCATGCCCCTTAGCACCCGGCCGTCAAGCTCGCAAAGCAGCATCCACCAGCACCCCAAACTGCATGCCCCAGAGAACCGGCCGTCAAGCTCGCAAAACAGCATCCACCAGCACCCCAAACTGCATGCCCCATAGCACCCGGCCAGCTCGCAAAACAGCATCCACCAACAGCCCAAACTGCATGCCCCCCAGCACCCGGCCGTCAAGCTCGCAAAACAGCATCCACCAGCACCCCAAACTGCATGCCCCTAGCACCGGCCGTCAAGCTCGCCGGCCAGCTCGCAAACCAGCAGCCCCCCACCCGGCCGTCAAGCTCGCAAAGCAGCATCTACCAGCACCACAAACTGCATGCCCCGTAGCACCCGCAAAGCAGCACCCACCAGCACCCCCAACTGCGTAGCACCCGGCCGTCAAGCTTGCAAAACAGCATCCACCAGCACCCCAAACTGCATACCCCCTAGCACCCGGCCGTCAAGCTCGCAAAGCAGCACCTACCAGCACCCCAAACTGCATGCCCCAGAGAACCGGCCGTCAAGCTCGCAAAACAGCATCCACCAGCACCCCAAACTGCATGCCCCCTGGCACCCGGCCGTCAAGCTCGCAAAGCAGCATCCACCAGCACCCCAAACTGCATGCCCCCTAGAACCGGCCGTCAAGCTCGCAAAACAGCATCCACCAGCACCCCAAACTGCATGCCCCCTAGAACCGGCCGTCAAGCTCGCAAAACAGCATCCACCAGCACCCCAAACTGCATGCCCCATAGCACCCGGCCAGCTCGCAAAACAGCATCCACCAGCAGCCCAAACTGCATGCCCCCCAGCACCCGGCCGTCAAGCTTGCAAAACAGCATCCACCAGCACCCCAAACTGCATGTTCCTAGCACCCGGCCAGCTCGAAAAACAAAACAGCATCCACCAGCACCCCAAACTGCATGCCCCCAGCACCCAGCCGTCAAGCATGCCCCCGAGCACCCGGCCGTCATCGCAAAGCAGCATCTACCAGCACCCCAAACTGCATGCCCCGTAGCACCCGCAAAGCAGCACCCACCAGCACCCCCAACTGCATAGCACCCGGCCGTCAAGCTTGCAAAACAGCATCCACCAGCACCCCAAACTGCATGCCCCCTAGCACCCGGCCGTCAAGCTCGCAAAGCAGCACCTACCAGCACCCCAAACTGCATGCCCCCTAGCACCCGGCCGTCAAGCTCGCAAAGCAGCACCCACCAGCACCCCAAACTGCATGCCCCCTAGCACCCGGCCGTCAAGCTCGCAAAGCAGCATCCACCAACCCCAAACTGCATGCTCCCCATGCCCCCTAGCACCCGCCCGTCAAGCTCGCAAAGCAGCATCCACCAGCACCCCACACTGCATGCCCCCTAGCACCCGGCCGTCAAGCTCGCAAAGCAGCACCCACCAGCACCCCAAACTGCATGCCCCCTAGCACCCGGCCGTCGCAAAGCAGCACCCACCAGCCGCACGCCCCCTAGCACCCGGCCGTCAAGCTCGCAAAGCAGCACCCACCAGCACCCCAAACTGCATGCCCCCTCGCACCCGGCCGTCAAGCTCGCAAAACAGACCTCAAACTGCATGCCCCCGAGCACCCGGCTGTCAAGCTCGCAAAGCAGCATCCACCAGCACCTCAAACTGCCTGCCCCCCAGCACCCGGCCGTCAAGCTCGCAAAGCAGCATCCACCAGCACCTCAAACTGCATGCCCCCTAGCACCCGGCCCTCAAGCTCGAAAAGCAGCATCCACCAGCACCTCCAACTGCATGCCCCCGCAAAGCAGCATCCACCAGCACCTCAAACTGCATGCCCCCTAGCACCCGGCCCTCAATCTCGCAAATCACTTTCCCCTCTTTATTAGAAGTTAGAACCCCTATAGCTTTCAGCTATCTGGGGAAAAACAAGTTCCTTTAAATCTGCTGGAAGTTACACTCCCCACCCTCGGGCGAAATGAAGGTGTAGAGGGCGTTTCAGCTGCCAGGACTTATTGACTTTCAGTTCTACCAAGACTTGCTGGTGCTCAGCAGGGATGAGGGAATAAATCAGAGGTCCGCTTAAAGGAAACCACAAGGGATGGTTTATAGGGGTCATTCACCAGCAAGAAAAGGTAAGGGCTTAGTCTTCACAAGGCCTTCGGGACCTCGAGCCCGGGCTCCTCTGGATTTCCCCACCTTGCCTAGCGGCCTAGCTCCGTCTTGTTCGTTCGAGACAACCCCATGCTCGAAAAGCCTAAAGCAAGAGAGAGAGAGAGAGGGGGAGGGAGGGAGGGAGGGAGGGAGGGAGGGAGGGAGGGAGAGAGAGAGAGAGAGAGAGGGGGAGGGAGGGAGGGAGGGAGGGAGGAGGGGAGGGAGGGAGGGGGGAGGGAGGGAGGAGGGAGGGAGGGAGGGAGGGAGGGAGGGAGGGAGGGAGGGAGGGAGGGAGGGAGGGAGGGAGGGAGGGAGGGAGGGAGGGAGGGAGGGAGGGAGGGAGGGAGGGAGGGAGGGAGGGAGGGAGAGACCCCCGCCGGTCCGCACCCTGGCAACCCGCTATCTTAGGGGGCTTACGGTATGCGCGTGTGGCCCAAAAACAAGAAAAACTAAAGTGAGTTATTTGCTGGTGAAAAGCGACAAACTCTGGCAGTGAAAGGGTGAAAACTTTTGGTGGGCGGTGGGGAACCGCGCAATCCCTCAAAAGCTCAAGTTTCAAAGTTCCACCAAATAACCTCTCTCCAACGATCATGGAAGTGGACAGGAGCCTTAAAACCAGTGGTTCAACCAGTGGAAAGTCACAAAAGACAACGAGACGCCAAACATGTAAGCCTTCTTGCCCGGCGGTGAACCAGAATCCGTTGACCAGCGGCGTCCACGGCCTCCGTCTCCGGGTTTGTGGTCTGCCTGCGGAGTGCCCAAGGAAATGGAGAAGGAGATTCCTCTCAAAATGGTTCATGTGTGGAGCAACTTGGGGATGCCTTACTCCCCATTCGAACCGTGAAAAAGTGGCTCCCACTTTGAGGTTGAACTCCCCAAAAGGGTGGCTTTTCTCTTGGTGCCCCTCTAAAACTACAAAAACGGGCACGGTGTCCCGTTCCAACCCCCCCCCCCCCAAAAAAAAATTACACCAGCATAGACCCCAGATAGCACACCACGGATACGAACCATGACGCAGCATTATCATGATGATGTAGACCATGATGACACCACAGCCACGAAACAAACGCGCAGACAACGTCCTAATGAGATCAGCAGCATAATGATGATTTTGAGAGCAATCCGGCAGGAAAAAGCAAAAACGAGGTCCTGATGAGTTCGACAGCATCATGATGATGCGGACAGCATCATGATGATGCGGACAGCATCATGGTGATGCGAACAGCATCATGCTGATGGTAAAGGCAGCATCATGATGATACCACAGCCACGAACCATCTTGCGACAGCTTAATGAAATTCTGCATCATCCTGATGTTGACAGCATCACGGCGCCACTACACCCACACACCATAACGTGGGAACATCATGACGATACACCAGCCACGAACCGTTACACGCGAACAGCATCCACCAGCACCCCAAACATGCCCCCTAGCACCCGGTACAACCAAAGCAGCATCCACCCGCGCCTCAAACTGCATGCCCCTTAGCACCCGGCCGTCAAGCTCGCAAAGCAGCATCCACCAGCACCCAAACTGCATGCCCCCTAGAACCGGCCGTCAAGCTCGCAAAACAGCACCCAACTGCATGCACCCAGGCACTCGCAAAACAGCAACTGCATGCCCCAGCACCCAGCTCGCAAAACAGCATCCACCGGCCGCCCCAGCACCCGGCCGTCAAGCTCGCAAAACAGCATCCAGCACCCCAAACTGCATGCCCCATCCAAACCAGCAGCCCACAAAACTCAAGCACAGCAGCACCCCAAACTGCAGCACCCGGCCAAGCTCGCAAAGCAGCATCCACCAGCACCCCAAACTGCATGCCCCCTAGCACCCGGCCGTCAAGCTCGCAAAGCAGCACCCACCAGCACCCCAAACTGCATGCCCCCTAGCACCCGGCCGTCAAGCTCGCAAAGCAGCATCCACCAGCACCCCAAACTGCATGCCCCCTAGCACGCAAAGCAGCACGCACCCCAAACTGCTAGCACCCGGCAAAGCAGCACCAGCACCTCCACCTGCATGCCCCCGAGCACCCGGCCGTCAAGCTCGCAAAGCAGCATCCACCAGCACCTCAAACTGCATGCCCCCCAGCACCCGGCCGTCAAGCTCGCAAAGCAGCATCCACCAGCACCTCAAACTGCATGCCCCCTAGCACCCGGCCCTCAATCTCGCAAAGCAGCATCCACCAGCACCTCAAACTGCATGCCCCCTAGCACCCGGCCGTCAAGCTCGCAAAGCAGCATCCACCAGCACCTCAAACTGCATGCCCCCTAGCACCCGGCCCTCAATCTCGCAAATCACTTTCCCCTCTTTATTAGAAGTTAGAACCCCTATAGCTTTCAGCTATCTGGGGAAAGAGATAAAAAAGCGGGCACCGCCAAAAACGCACACACAAACACACAACCACACAAACACCCAAACAGGAAACCGCCTTTGGTTCGCCCGGCCCAACCCCCGCCTCGCAACAATGTCCGGCTGCTCCCCCGACTCCTGAAGCTTCGCCAGGGCATTGCGCGCCGGCCTCGTCTGACGGTAGCGGTTTTCTTCCCAGACCTTCATGGGAGTGGCACGTCGTGTTTTCGTTTGGGAAGTGCCCCGTCTTCTTTTTTTGGAGGGTTGGTTTTAAAGGAAAAACATGTTTGAAGAAACACAGGGATCCTTAGATTATACACCTGAACATTGCCTTGTAAATGGTGGTTTCCCCTTATTTTGGTGGAAAAAGCCATGTGTCAAATGGGCAAAATGTATCTTTTAAGGAGCCCTGAAACATCGGAGCCATTTTTGCGGGTACCTAGAAATTTAGGGTCGGGACAGGTAGGGCTTACGGCTTTCGGGTTTAGGGCTTAGGGATGTTTAGGGTCTGGGATTTGAGGAGTCCTTCTTTTCCCCCTAGCGATCCTTCTTTGATGTCCAAAAAGCCCGGAAGTACCTTGGCTTCCCCACTAGCATGGGCGGGAAGAAGCTGGTGTCGCTTGAGCGTTGCTTAAATAGGCGTGGCAGTTGTCAAAAGGCAGCAACCCGTCCGGGCCGAGGTTCAAACAGAGACCGCAAAAACAAAAGAAAACAAACTCTGACCTCTGGCCACACCTGCCATCCCACACCCAAAAGTTGAGAGACACGCCGCCCTGCAGCCGGCCAGACCGGGAGCAAGGGTGACCTAGATTACACCAGGGGCTGTTTGGAGACTTCGGCTCGCAAAGGTGGTCATGCAGTTATGCTTGTGGAGATGAGCCCAGGGCAATTCATTCACCGCCAGAGCTGGGGGTCCTTAAAAGGATACATCCAAAAACCTGCTTCATGATTCGGAGCCCTTCCTAAATCGGCTGAAGGTGATGTCTTAGGCCCAAAAAAGTGTTGACCCCGAGGGTGATCATCCAACTGGTGGTGTCAAGAAAATGGAAAACCTGCAACCCAGAACCCAAAGGGGGGAGATCAAGCACTGCCCTTAAGTGTACCTTGAGGATATCCTAAAATCGAATCCTGGTTGGACAAGGTTCAAAGGGGATCTTTGAAATGGGCATGAATCTTAATTAGGGGCCCTGTGGCGGACATCATTTGGGTGGGGATTTATGTCCACCAACCACTTTTCAGGGGGTTCCCCATCAAAAAATCATAGCCAAATAACTTCGGTGCTCTTTGGTTTGTTTGGTCAGCCTTTCTCCACTCAGAAGAAACTGCGCAATGTCAATCCCTCAATGGACGTTATAGGTTGGCACACAGCACCGCTAGGGTTAGTTAAAAGAAACCAACCCCGTCTTGTCAACCCAAGTCCTGGGCGCTTGCAAGCCACCCGTTGTTCGGGCGTGTCCCCCCCCCAAAAAAAAAAAAAAAAGAAGGGCGCCACGCCAGCCGTGGTTCAGGTTCTCATCAGCTGCATCCCACCCGCCCTCGTGCTGCCCGAGGGGCGTGGTCAGCCGCAGCAGGGGCAGGACGACGAAGAAGTTATCGCTGTAGCTCCGAACCAGAGGCACCGATTGCTTCTGCAGCCTAGCAGAAGCGGAAGCGGACGCATTTCGGGCATAGCTCTCATAGGAAAATCGGAACCCCCAGAATGCGCGATTTGTTCAAGTGGAAAAACAAGAAACGGGTCCGCCATTTTGAGAAACCCGCCCAGTTCGCTCGAGGGACAATGGATGCCCCGAAATCTGCTCTGAAAAGTGGACCAACCATTAAAAACAACCAAAGTGGACCCAAAGACCGACCCTAGTTCTCATGGCGTCAATCGGAATTGTCTCTTGTGGTTGGGCTTTTCTTTTTAAACCCCCAAAAAAAGGCGCACAAAAAATACAAGCCCGTTGTGGTGCTTGTATCTTAATCACACTCTGTCTTTCTCATACTCTTTCTCTTTCTCCTTCTCCCTCTCTCTCTCTCTCTCACTCTCTCTCTCTTTCTGTCTCTTTCTCTCTTCCTCTCTCTCTCTCTCTCTCTCGCTGTCTCTTTTTTTGTCTCTCTCTCTCTCTCTCTCTCCCTCTGTCTCTTTCTCTCCCTCTCTCTCTCTCTGTCTCAATCTCTCTTTATCTTTCTGTTTCTCTCTCTCTCTCTCTCGTGTTGTGGGGGTCGTTCGGGTGTGAGAATGCCTGTACCTACTCTTCCACTTCCAAGTGTTAAGCCTATGGAGAGCTGGACTTTCCAATCCTTGGCAGAGAGCCCCGCCAAAAAAAGAAAGAAGCTCGTTTTTTTTTTCCGGCAACCCACAAAAAATGAACAGAACCAACCAGCAATGCTTTTTAGGTGGCCATCCAAAGTACGGCGGCTCTGCAGCCCTTCTCGTTTCCATGGATTGGCCCAAAAAGTAACATAACTTCTTGCTTGCCAGTAAAACGGCCTCAAAAAGTTCCAACGTCCAGGACCTCAAGCACTGAGCTTCTTTGAATGCCCAAAGAAAGTGCCCCCCTGAATCCCCTGAACGGCTTGAGGGTAGTGGAAACCTGTCCCAGGTGCTGGATGGTGTCCTCCACGGGCAAGGGGTGGAGCTGGTACTTCACCGCTAGCCGCAGGATGGTGGCCTGCGGAAAAATCTGTGGGTGGCCACTTGCTTTCCACCTTGTCTTAGAGCCTTCTTGGAAGGGGCCTTGGAAGGGTTCTAAGCGGGTAGGCCCTAACGGCAATCCCTAAAACATGACTTTTTGAAGGATCCTGGCGATGGGTGTGGGACATTTATGTGAGGAAGCACATCTCATGTGGAGTTGTTTCGTGAATCACGCACCTGAACGACTTGACAGAAAGGAGCCTTCATTGAGGTGACAAACCCATGCAACCCAAGTAATTTTGTGGGGGTGCCATGATGACTTGCGCTCTCCCCGAAGAGGTCTCTGCAAAGGGCGTGCGTGACCGAATGATAGGGAACCGTCTGTTCTTGGTGGATCTGCGGCGATGGTGTAGTCGCTTGCAATAAGAGTGCGTCAACACAAGTGAATGCTTGTCTGGAAGGCATTGTGTTTGGCGGCTACCTACTCTTCCATTTGCTTAAGCCCCCTGGAAAAAATACACATATGCCCAGTAGTGATAAATTCCCTTTAAACCCAAAAAGGGAGGTGTGAAGAGAGAAAAAAAAGTATATTCTTCTTGAGCAAATGGGAGTATTGGTTGAAACCGTGTTCCTTAAAGGATTGCTGCAACAGATCACCTCAAGGGGATCCTCTAAAGCTGGTGAGTTTCCAACTGGCCCGTATCCAGCTAAAGGGACCCTGCGGATCTCTGCCGCCAAATCTGAAAATAATTGAATGTGCGAACCCTTGAGAAAATTTGAGAGAAATGCCCATGGGTGTGGAAAGGCAAAAGGGCGGGTCATCTTCATGCCGCTTCCTGTGGGGCTGACAAAATTGATAAGCGCTTTCTTGGTGCCCAAACGGCTGGCAGCCGGTTGGTTCCAAGCGAAAGCTTCGCTGCCCCCCGTTTCTGTTCTTGGGATCGCGTTGCTTGTGTTGCCCTTTACACCGATTTTTTTGCGTCTTGGGCTACTGCCCCTTTTTGGCTTTGCCTATGCTCTACCCAAATAGGTGTCGAACCGTGTCCGGCGCGCCTTGCTGACGGCGCTGCAATGCACCCAGCCTTGGGCGAGGAGAGAGAGGTCCCCGTGTCCGAACATGGTCGAGACGGCTCCGCACGCGCTTCTTTCATGCGCTGCAAGCGGCGCCGTTTGCACACTTACGGAAGACGGCAGCGCTGTATTCCCACTGCAGGGTTATGCTGTTCTGACGCTGGACATTCCGCGAACGTTTCTGGAAACCACTCAAGCTGCGCACCCTTGCGGACAAAGCCCAGTGATGCCCGGACTTCAACACCACTCAAGTCCCCCTTGCAACCCAGCCGCTCATAATCAACTAGAAAACATATCTATTTCTCAGAAAGCCCTTGTAGAAACCACCGCCACCCCCAAAACATCCCAAAACAAAGGCGCCTCCATATGGTCCGAGGGACAAGGCGACTGCTTCTATGGCAATGTACCCTGGAATTTTGGGGTAGTAGAAGAACACCCTTATACACAAAAGGCAAAACCGCCAAAACGAACAAAACAAACAAGAACAAATACACAAATACACCAAAAAAAAAAAACAAGCAAGCAAGCAAGCAAGCAAGCAAGCAAGCAAGCAAGCAAGCAAGCAAGCAAGCAAGCAAGCAAGCAAGCAAGCAAGCAAGCAAGCAAGCAAGCAAGCAAGCAAGCAAGCAAGCAAGCAAGCAAGCAAGCAAGCAAGCAAGCAAGCAAGCAAGCAAGCAAGCAAGCAAGCAAGCAAGCAAGCAAGCAAGCAAGCAGCAAAAAAAACAACAAAAGTAAAAAAAAGCAAACAATAAGAGCAAAACTCGCCTCTCTCCCTGCGTGCGTTTTCTTTTTCCGAGGGACGCATCTTCATGGACGGGTGCCGATGGCTGAGGAAAATGGCCGAACTGTCCGCCTTGTTGAAGTAGTTCTCCTTCACCACCCTGCACAGGGCCCCTACAATTTCCGCAAGAGCTGCAGCTCTTGCAACATCGACAAAGGACCTCAGCGTGGTGGGTCATTCACTCCGCAGAACAATTGAACTTGCTTCTAGTTGCATCACAGGACCCCTTGCGGGCACCCAAAACAAAAACACACACACACATACACACACACACACACATTCTGTTAGAGGGAGGAAGTCGAGCGATGCAAGACTCGAGTGGCGTAAACGCAACGTCTATGCCGAGTGTAGTCGAGAAGGTTCCAGGGCCGTTTGTGCCCCTTT